GGACCACAAGCGCCCGCCACAACGCACGGCTATTTTTTTGGTTGCAGCCTTCATTGTTGTTTGGTGGGCCTGGGATGCATTCGAACCGGCCACATTAGGTGTATATGGCTGGCACCTTAGCTACTTGAGCCATAGGCACCAAGCCAACATGTGCTAATTCTAGTAGAAGCTTCTCTTAGGAAGCTTGAAAAAACTTTGGGGACCTTAGTACTCCAGGTTATTCTACAGTAAAGTAGAAACAACATTAAAGTAGAAGTCAGAAGACTTGCTGTAGTCCCAGCCCTTGTGGTAGAAGCTCTTAACAGATCCTGAGACAAAAGCTTAAAGAAGTTCCCATTTAAGTGGGGATAATAATAACCCCATCCTCCTCCTTCAGAGAGCTGTTCTAAAAAGCAAGTGAGATAATAACTATGTAAAGTCCTCTGAAAATGATAAAGTACTGTACAGATATAAGACTTTATTATAATTGCCCCTACTACCAGCATATTTGGAGTTACTTGGAATCCTACTAGTTTGAACCTGCCACAAAGAGGCAGGTACCAGAGGAATTAACCTAATAACTCTGGAATGAAGAAATGAAAAGCTAAAAATACTTTACCCCTTACAAAGCTCATTATCCAAAGCAATCCAGTGATAGTCTCTCTGTAAAATATGCTAGCTTTTACTGATTTTTTTAATCTTGTGTCCTATAAATTCAAATAGAAATAAAATTCCTTTTCCACCTGTGATTGGACCATCATCTTCATCAAACTCAATTTTCACTCCTTTTCCATTGGCTGTGCTAACACCACAGCCACCTCCACGACAGAGAGAAATAGGCACAACCCCGTAGACATATGCCAGCATAATGGGGACACCAATACCTGGGGGAAGAGAAGGAAACATGTCAGCAGGCCATCAGGTTCCAACAGCTCTGAATTATTCCTAGCACGGACAAACCACTTTATAAAGGGCCAAAGACAGACAGAAGATGGCTACTCCAAAAACGTGGCTTGGTGTAACAGAATGACCAGCTTTGCAACCAGAAAGACCTGGATTAGAATTTTGGCTCCAATTTACTAGATATATGACCTTGGACCTATCTTCCCAGAGCTGTCAATGATCAAATCAGAATGCATGTACAGGTGCCTAGCACAGTAAATATATGTTGCTTTCATTTCCTACCTTTCTAGTCTCTGCTGAAGTGCTAACCTAAGAATCATTAAAAATCAAACATTAAATAAATGATTACTGACTGGGGTCTAGGAGCCCTGAGGGTGTTAATTCCCGAATGTTACTGCTCTCTAAGGTAGAATGGCTTAGTTGTTAAGAGCACAGAATCTGAACTTGGATCAGACTGCCTTGATTCACATCTCAACTATATGATTTTAAGAAAACTACTAGACTTTTCTGTTATAATTATACAGCTTTTTGAGAGGATTAAATAAGTTATTATATATGAAAAATACTCAGAACCATTCCAGACACGTGGAGAGCCTTATTAAATGTTAGTTGTATTATTGTGCTAAAACAAATGCTCATGCCTCTTCAAATATTGTGAGGCTATTCTAAAGTAGTTAGAGAGGTTGCCTGGTATAAGAGAATGATGACCAAATTTGCAAGGAGAAAGACTGGATTAGAATCTTGGTTCCAATTTACTAGCTGTGTGACCTCAGACCTATCTTCCCAGGGTTGTCAATGATCAAATGATAATGTAAATACAATGTATACATTCAACAAATCAAAATAAAAGTACTATGGCAAATGGAGGAGGAGGAAGGTGAGAGGGGAGCTAGAGCTTAAAGTAATTTTCTTCAATTCAATCTTTTCTATGTGCCAGATGGAATTCTAGGCACTAACTTAAGAACAAAAGATCTCCAACTCTGATAATTGGTGTGGCTAAAAAACTAAAAAATAATCATCATAATAGTGCCTATAATAGAGTTAACTACTAATGTGGGTTTGGTATAAAACGTACAAGTCTCTGGGAAATACTTGGCCAGCTGGCTCAACCACTACAATCAGAAAGCTGAGAGAGAAGTCATGGTTCTAACTAGCTTACCAACACTAACTGCAGCAATGACTGGGGATGCAATGACTGACAAAGTCACTCCTCCTGTGATAGCCAAATTCCTCTTGTGTTTGGAGGTTTTCCTTCCTTCATACCTGCTGTGAATCTAAGAATAAAAAAAAATCCAGATCAACAGGACATCAGTCTTTTCAGGAGAAAAAAAGGAACAAGTGAATAGTCACTTATAAGTTCCCTACATTAAAAATATCCTTCACCCCAACCTTCACTCCAAGAAAGAATGTTTCTCAAATTTTAACCCAATTCAGACCCAGAAGACATAAACTTAGACAATGTTACTCCAAGAAGAGACAAAACATATCTCAGGATAATGAAGTAAGCATTTTACCTTTAAGTCACTGAGATAAGCCAGGCACAGGATGTTAATAATAACTTTCAGATCTCATGGGGGTTTATAAAAACCCATTTGAGAAATTGAGGTCATTTTTACCTAAGAACCAGTTAGTTTTTAGGCAGCTCTGAAATACAAGCTCCTTTTCCTTTCCCTCAAACTTTTAACAACAAACCTAAAGGTGGAACATGCACAAAATCAGGCATGTCTTACCTTCCTTCCAACGTAAACAGGAATGCCAATGACCATGGCAGGAATGGCAATGCCAGCAATGAGAGAAATCCCCACCGGAGCACCAATCAAAGTGCCCAGCTGCCAAAGAATTTTCTTCTTACGGCTCCATGGCTTCTTGCCCCAGAATGTACAGCCAGAGGGGCTGCAGAAGAAACATTCTGAAGTTAATGTCAAATATTACAAACGCAGCTATTGTTATCAGAGGGATTGATAAGAGCAATGGCTTTCTTTTCAATGGGTGTGAGTAACAGTTACAAGAAGTTACAGGAAATAAATACATCATACAAAGCAGAGCAAAGGACAAGGCCAGACTATTAGAGCTGTAGGCCCTTTTTTTCTTCTCTTTCTTTCTTTTTTTTTTTTTAAATAAAGACAAGCCTCCAGACTTGAAACTCCTTTTCCATTCTTCTCTGTTGAACTCTGTCTTCCCTAAGCCACCAACACTGATCCAGATTCTTTGACTGGCAATATTTGGGATCCTGCTGAGACTATGCACTTGACATCTCATCCAGACAACACATGCCTTGTAGCTAATGAACACTCTGATTTGTGTAGTTTTCTTGGAATATGTCCTACCAAACCTAATAGGTACTCCTGGGAGAGGATATAAAAAGACTTTGTCATACCTTTTATGTTGATTTGGTACTCTTCTTATTTTATTTTATTTTTCTTATGAGATGGTATTTCACTATATTGCCCAGATTGGTCTTGAACTCCCAGCCTCAAAAGGGAGCCTCTAGCTTCCAAAGGAGGCTAGATGGGGTACGTAATTTTTTATTTTCTTTTTGAGATAGAATCTCACTCTGTTGACCCTAGCTAGAGTGTCATGGTGTCAGCCTAGTTCATAGCAACCTCACACTCCTGAGTTCAAGTAATCCTCCTGAGTAGCTGGGACTTTAGGTACTCACCATAATGCCTGCCTCATTTTTCTATTTTTAGTGGAGATGGGGTCTCACTCTTATTCAGGCTGGTCATGAACTCCTGAGCTCAAGTGATTCTCCTGCCCCAGCATCCTAGAGTGCTCGGATTACAGGAATAAGCCACTGCACATGGCTGGGGTAAGCAATTTTGAAAGTAGGGACATGTCTTATTCATCCCTGTGGGGCCAATGACTGGTAGTACATAGTTAAGTACTCAAATGTTTGCTAAATTGGAAATGAAAGTATTTCATTTATACAACAAATACTTTGGAAACTCACTACACATAAGAACCTATAGAAAGGTCATAACTCTACTCTCAAGATACTTATGGTTTAATAAGATTAGATATGTGTCATCATCGTGGTGATGATATTTATAACAAAAGAGATAAAAGAACAACAATAAAGAAGGATGAGGCAGAAAAAGTTGTATGGGTGAAATGGCATTTAAGTGGCTCTTAAAGGATGGATAAGAACTGAACAGGATAAAAAGGAGATACCAGAAGGTGATTAGAAAGCATCCCAGGCAAAAGAAGGAACATGAACAAGTACAGAGGCAAGAGAGCAAAAAGAGACATAGAGTGTAGCAAGCCCAGATTATCTGAAATATAGCACGTATAAAAGAAGAATGGAAAAAGCTAGAAAAGTAGATTAGGGTCAGACTTTAAAAGCCATGCTAGGAGTAAATAAGATATAATCTGGAAGGTAATGGGGATAGTTCCTGGAGGTTGCTGAGCTGGAGAAAAATATGATCAAAGGGGCACATCAGAAGACTTCTTTACAGCTTCCTTATTCTGTAATGAGAGGACGACTGTCTCTTTGATATCCTTTTCCCTAAATCAGTGAGAGGATAAGACTACAAAAGCATATTTCCCATCTTACCTGAGGTAATGTAAGTCTGAGATCTCTTTCATACAAAGCCAGCAGAATTCACAGCCACACACTGCACACGTCATGTGATTACAGCTTCCATCATTCATCTTGATAATGTAAGCGCTGCATCGTGGGCATGGCTTGATGTCATCTGCTAAGGGGGGGAAGAAAAAATGGGTAGAAAAATACCCCCATTTAAACCTAGCTTGACTTAGTTATTCCTACGAATACACATAAGAAATGAGGTGGAAGTCAAGAACTCTTGACTGGGCATTCCAAATTGTGTAAGACACTTACTAAAAGACTGGCTGTATATCTAGACCTCAGAAATTTTCAAAGAACAGCTCCTATCTTATACTGAGCTATCTAACCCAATAACAAGCATCTTACATAGCACTGGAGCCACACTCTGAGCAAGGAGACTTCCCTAAAGAAAAAGATGTTTCCAAGAAAACAGTCAATAGGCTGGGCTCACACTTGTAATTCTAGCACTCTGGGAGGCCAAGGTAGAATGACTCCTTGAGCTAGGGAGTTCAAGACCAGCCTGAGCAAGAGGGAGATCCCATCTCTACTAAAAATAGAAAAATTACCCAGGCACAATGGTGTATGCCTATAGTCTCAGCTACTCAGGATGCTGAGGCAGGACTGCTTGAGGGCAGGAGTCTGGGGTTGCTGTGAGCCGGGCTGAGGCTCAGCTATGCCACTCTAGCCCTAACAACAGAGGGAGAGTCTGTCTTAAAAAAAAAAAAAATCTACTAATATGATTTTTGAAAAACTCATTCATTCAGGGAGTTAGTCTTTCAGTTTCATCAAATGTCACTGTGATTTGCTGTTAACACAATCCATAATCCCTTCCCATGACACTTTTACATTCAAAACCTAAAAACAAGTGCGTATGTTATGTGGCATATACCTACTAATTTCACAGCAATTTAAGAACTATCCTTTCTGGCTCAGCACCTGTGGCTCAAGTGGCTAAGGCGCCAGCCACATACACCTAAGGTGGCGGGTTCAAATCCAGCCTGGGCCCGTCAAAACAATAACGATGGCTGCAACCAAAAAATGGCCCGGCGTTGTGGCGGGCGCCTGTGGTCCCAGCTACTTGGGAGGCAGAGGCAGGAGACTCCCTTGAGCCCACGAGTTGGAGGTTGTTGTGAGCTATGCCATGGCACTCCACCCAGGGGGATAGCTTGAGGCTCTGTCTCCAAAAAAAAAAAAACGAACTATCCTTTCAAAACGATAGTTTAGGAGTTTGTGCTGTGCCAGGAAAAAGTGAATGGTAAAATCTTTCCCATTAGCCTCTCCCAAATGACATCATTAAAATAAAGTACAAGGCAATAAATCCACCAACATTTTAAAATGGATTTGCTTTGACTTGTCAAGGTTAGAACTGAATATGTGACAATTCTCCTTTTAAGGTTAATCATTAATCCATACTAGTGTTATTTCCTTTTCTTACCCCATTTCCAAAAGCAGTGATGCATTTACAGCTTGCAGACTAAAAGTACAGGTTTCATGCTAATTAAATGTCTTTCTGCTTACAATAAAAGTTCTGAAAAAGCCCTAGCAAAGGACCTAATTGTTCTCCAATCTGAGACATATTACAAAGAAGGTAGAAATCAGATAATTCAGTTTTATTGTATTCAAATTTTGTATGGGTTAGATAACCTATAATGGTCAGAGAAGGAAGTTATTTATCAAATATAATATTGACAGCATTACTAAATGGTATTTTCTGCTCTTTGATCCTTGGGAACATAAGGGTTATACATTAGGATAAATCTATTCCAGCTTTGAGTTCACATAATGAAATACCAAATAAAGAGGAAATGAGATAATGCGAATTTATACCTGGTCCAGATTCTTGCCCATAACTAAGACCTGAAGTGTGTTTGGTCCGAACTCGCAAAGTCTGTGCCCTCTGTTGACGGGCCATATCGCACGTCTGATTTGGATGCCATATCTGCTTGCAGTGGTAGCAGAACTCAGTCTGGCAGCCTTCTCTCTCACAGGTTAGCTTTGGGCAGCTGGCACAGCCATAGGCAATAACAGCATAACTGGGTAAGAAAACAGGAAGAGATATCAGTAAGGTAAGAATGACCTAACCATGACAGGCATTATTAATCAGTATTAAAAATGTTTGGCACCACCCCACAATTATATATGCTGCAGAGAAAAGATCACACACTCACATACACACACACCCCTAACTAACTATAAAACATATTCTACGTGAGAAAATAAATCTCCTCTTGGGATTCCAAACACAAGTCACATTTATTTCCTTAAAAAGTGGGGATAAATACTATATTAGTCTGAATTTCTATCATTTACTTGGTCACGGTTTAAGCCACTGTAGGAGCTATTTGCAACAGCAAGTTTCATAAATAACAGGGTCCAAAACGATTTTCTTTCAATAGTTTGCTATATTTAGAGATATTAGAATTTGTTTACATGAAGGAATGGAATATTTGTAAAGAAAACTAAAAGAAATATACTTTTTCATTTTTAAGTTCCACTGTGAAGCTGATATGACCACAGTTAGAAAGGCAATAGCCCTAAATGGACTTATGATCAATGTTTCCTACTGAAAGCTCATCTTCTGGCTCGGCGCCTATAGCTCAACCAGCTAAGGCGCCAGCCACGTACACCTAAGGTGGCGGGTTCAAATCCCCAGCCCGGACCTGCCAAACAACAATGACGGCTGCAACCAAAAAATAGCCCGGCGTTGTGGCGGGCGCCTGTGGTCCCAGCTACTTGGGAGGCGGAGGCAGGAGACTCGCTTGAGCCCAGGAGTTGGAGGTTGCTGTGAGCTGTGATGCCACGGTACTGTACCCAGGGGGACAGCTTGAGGCTCTGTCTCAAAAAAAAAAAAAAAAAAGAAAGCTCATCTTCTCTTTCCATACTTTCTTTTTTTTTCCTTCTCAACTCAAATCTATACCTTGAAATGACTTCTTTGTTGATTGGCTTCATAATCTAAGAATACCATATCTCTCTCTTATTGATTAATATAGCGTTAAGGCCATATCTCCTTTTTTTTTTTCTTCTAACACGTATTCTTAGCATAAAGAAATGCAACACAGAATTTATCAGCAATGCATCAAACATTTCTTGCAATTCATTTCATTTACCAAGAATTAGTCTCCCACAAATAATCCAATATACTAGATTTACAAATCTTACCCTTTCTGATTAACTCTAAATATGTCAACTAAATGTTCACATTTCTCTAACAAGTAGACACTTTAAAATAAAAAAAAAAATTAAAGTAATTTAAAGAAACAAATGGAACAATGTGAGGATTCACAATTTTTAAACAGAAATTATCAATGATTATAAGATTAGGTGTTGCTATCTGCCACTCCCAATATCTAAAGACCTCAAACAATTTATACAAAAGGCTGACAATGTTTTCTACAGTTTGTTTACTCGTTTCATTCAAATTATTGACCAATATTACTTTTTTATTTGAATGTATATCAGATGTTCACAGTAGCATCTCAAGTCTGAGTTATCATAGATTCTGCAACTTGGTTTGAGAATGATGTTGAAAATATAAATGACAATGTATCGCCTACATTATATAACATGTGCTACATTAAAACTCTTCTGTGAAAGAACAAAGTGAGAACAGGTCAATGTGTGAACGCAAATGATTCATATCCTGTAGGAGTTCTGAGCAAATTTACCCCACCTCACTGCAAAATAACCACTAAAGATAAACAGTGTGTCTCCTGAAGAAAGTGACTTGCTTACTATTTTGTATTAAATGGGAAAGTTACTAGATGACCTCAGAAAAGTATTAAATCAACATCAGAAGATACAAATTAAATATGCAACCTGTCAGGAAGCCTTGAACACTTCATGATCGATTCCTACCTCACATGAGGTAAGTAAATATTTATTGATAATAATAGACTGTCCCCCTTTTAAAAGAACATTTGATTAGGATTAACAATGTCAATTTTGGGTAGTTGGTTCCAAGGAAGTGAAATAACTAAAAAATACTCATGAATTCATAGCAATCTATTACTGTGACAAAGAATAACTCAAGGCATGAGATCTGGCAGTTTTGTTTTTGGGTGCCTGGCCGGAGCTCTTGCCTTTGACTCATACTGCATGACATTGAACTAGTTAAAATCTCCAAACCTTAGCTTCTATCATCCCAAATGAAGGTACAGGTGCTTGTCACCTCCAAGTGTAGCTAACATGTTCTAAAGCTGCTCTTGAGATCTTGCCCCGAAAGGTATGGTATAAAAACATAGCCCACTTTGGCCTGCTTCCCAGCCTTTGCATATTGTATTCCTTCTGCCTAGAAATGTTGTGCCCTTATTTCATGCCCTGGCAAATGCCCATTTAAGAACCAGTTCAAATGTCACATTCTCTATAAAAGCTACTTAATTTCTCCAGGCGACTGGTTGCCTACCTTGTGCCTATGTACAATTATTTGATAACACTTGCCACATTAGATTGTAATTATCTAAATATATGTTTGCTCTGCAACCACACTAGACTCAAGAGATATCATCCTTTATTTAATTTCCAGGGTCTAATACACTGGTTCAGGCTCAAAATACCTGTATTGAATGAATGATAGAAACCTTCTCTTGCTTCAGTTGTTTGACTTTCCCTGGACATGCTAACTCTGCTCCTGGGTCATTGTTCTGCTCTAAAGCAATCTTTTCAATGACTCCATGTATTTTATTGGCTTACTATTGGCTTTCCTTATATGCTAAGTTCTATAAATTCTATAATTTCATATAAACCCGTTTTAAAGGTAAAGCCCTAAATTCTGAATAGGGCAATATTCTTCCCCAATAGCTGAGGGAAAACAAACAAACAAACAAACAAAATCTTGGAGACCAAATCTGTCCTGACAATCTTGTTCCTTCTCTATCATGTTCTACAACTGAAGCTTCTCTCCCTTTATGCTATTTTAGATTAATCAAAAATCTGGGTTTGCTTTTTAGAAGCTAAAAGGAAGGTATAGGAAATTACATGCTGCTACGAATACAGGCACCCCTCTTCCCCAATGCATACAACTTTTACTTATTTTATTAATTTCCCAAATCTTCAGAAACATCATATTGCCATAAGCAAGATCACAACATTACATAATTTAAGCCCTGGGGGAAAAATTTTCCATTAGTGTATATCTGATTATGCTCCAACAGATACTGATAATTAAAGAAACGTGTTCCTGTATCATGTCTATACTTCCCACCCCCAAGTCATGTAATTTAACTGGGTTACCTATTTACAAATAGAACCTGAGTAGCTGTTAAGGGTGGTAGACATGAGCCAAGTTGTCATATTGAGCTGTACCCTTACTATCTTTCTTTTCTTACTTCCCTCCCTCCCTATTTCTCTTTCTTTCTTTTTTTTTGTGTGTGTGTCCTATTTCAGATTCATCTCTAGGCCAGAAAACTGTAAAAACCTCCTTATCTGGTCTATTCTACACTCCAACCCAAATTCCATCCCAGAAGGTTATCTATCATGAGGTTACTCTTTTCCTTAAAATAGTTCAAAGTCCTTCAACCCTAAACTTATTTGTATGGTTTAGGCCTATCAATAGGAATCTGGTTTCCCTTTTCAGACTGATCTCTTGTCACTTCCCAGATCATGCTCCCTACACTACGCATCCAGAGGCTAACCAAACCAGACTCCAGACTTGGCATTAGTCTGGAGTGGTATGTATTTTATAGTTTCATGCATTTTCTCATAACACTCAGGTTTAAAATGCTTTTTTCTCTATTCTCATCTTTGTCTGCCTGGTATAAATGCCTACTCATATTCTTGAAGGCTCAGATCAAATATCATTTCCTCTGTGAAATCTTTCTTGAAACCATCATGAAAAACTTATCATTCTTTCATCTATCTAAGAGTAGGTTTTTATTTTCTTTAGTATTTATCACATTACATTTATAATTCCCTATCAATCACCTGTCTTCTCTACTAGGTCAAATTCCCTGTCCAGAGGATCATGTTTAAGTCCTTTTAGTAATATCTAATATTTGTGCAGGTTTGTCATGTCTGTTGAATGATCACCTATCTGTCCTATTCTTGCCCACCCTCCAAGAATGCTGTTCCATCACTGTTCCTTCTTCGAGAACCGAGCCACTCATACTTCCATCTTTCTCATCAAAATTCAGCTATGCATTCCATTCTTCTCAGACCTAATTGAATGACTATGTACACAGAGTTGTAGAAATAGTCAGAATATAGATATTCTAGTCTAGAGGAGTGAGCTCTTAATCTACTCAGACCCAAAGATTTATTCTTAAATAAGAATACTTAACTGAAGGCAGGCCAGAGTGACAACTGTTAAATGGAGTTTAGAAAATGGCAAAAGGTCAAGTAAAGTTTGAATTAAGGCTTAAAGATGCCACAAGAAAAAACAAAAACATGTTTACTAGTGATCTCAATCGAGAAAATATGATAGTGAAGATTGTATATTAACATTAGCAACATTTATAGTGCATATTAGTATGTTCAAAGACTCTAAGAATGGGCCCACCTCCCCACGAGGCAGGTAGACTGACTGCCTGAGCTCAGGAGTTTGAGACCAACCTGAGCAAGAGTGAGATCCCATCTCTAAAAACAAATAGCTGGGCATTGTGGTGGGTGCCTGTAGTCCCAGCTACTTGGGAGGCCGAGGCAAGAGGATCACTTCAGCCCAAGAGTTTGAGGTTGCTGTGAGCTATGATGCCATGGCATTCTACCCCAGGCGACTGAGTAAGACTGTCTCAAAATAAATAAATAAATAAATAGAATAGAATAAAATACTCTAAGAAACTTATAAACTTATTTTATTTTGTTTAACCCAATATTTCCCAAGCTTAAATGATCACAAAACATTTTTTCTTTCAAGTAATGCCTATAACATACCTTGGGAAATATTCATGTAGGTGAAAAATAGCAAATAAAATCAAAAGATGGTTGGAGACTGCAAAAGAATTTAACTGATAAGGAGGGATCAAATAAATATGTTCTTAAAGACATAATGAGAAGTCATCTTTTTAAGGTCAGGTAGTCAATGAATGAGCAGTTTTAAGCAGGAGAGTGATACAGATGTTCTGTTTGAGAATGAGTACTTCGGCAAATATGAGAAAGATGCATTAGGCTGGAGGATAGTGTGAATGGGCATGGAGTAGGGGGACGTAGGGAAAAGTGGAACATGAGGCCAGAGCCAAACTAACAGAAAAGGTCCAGGAAACCTTAGGAAAAATTCTCCTTCACTGATTATGAAATTTATCTTGCTCAGGGAGCTGGCTCGTCCCTCATAAAATGAACAGAAGCTTCCTGTTTCTGAGATGGTCTAGTTCAGCTGTCTGGGAAGGCCAATATCTGATATCATCTCTTGAGATCAGGTGGGAGGGCGGACTCTGCAGGGGACAGAGGCAGCAATGAGAGGCTGGAATAGTGGACCTACACAAAGAATTTAGGTCAATACAGCCTTATCTCATATTCGTTTATATAGGAGATCTGCCCCTGTATGCCAGGAAATCTTCTATTACCTACTTTGCTCACCCCTTAGAGTCTCTTAGCAATTCAAAAGACTTTAAAGATTGGCAACAGGGTACTTGAGCAGTAAACATTACAGTTACATGATTTGGAGGTTTCTGAAAAGACACACTTGAGCAGAGACTTGAAAAGGTAATATATTAACTGTACCATGACACATTAGGCTCCAAACTTAAACTTCTCTGAACTGGTTTCTCCTTTACAAAATGCATTTACTACCATCTTACCGTATGAGACTAAAATGAAATCGTGTTTGAATAAGATTACAGTCTGAAGACTTTAAATAACTATAAAAAAAGGTCAACTATTTGTATTTTGAGCTAATTTTCCCATTTAAAAATATGTTTTAAAAATTACACTTTGGGCTGGGTACAGTGGCTAGAGTCTATAATCCTAACACTCTGGGAGGCCAATGTGGGAGGATCATTTGAGCTCAGGAATTCAAGACTAGCCTGAAGAAGAGTGAGAATCTATCTCTACAAAAATAGAAAAAATTAACTGAGCATTCTGGTGGACACCTATAGTCCCAGCTACTGGGTAGGCTGAGGCAGGACGATCACTTGAGCCCAGGAGTTTGAGGTTGCTGTGAGCTAGGCTGATGCCGTGGCATGTAACTGGGGCAAGAGAGTGAGCCTATCTCCAAAAAAAAAAAAAAAATTATACTTCGGAACGTTGTTCTTAGTTTATTAAATAATAATGTGAATATTTCCCCACTGAAATTGTTTTTCTTGTTTATGTACAAAAAAATTTCAAGTAGGAGTAAAGAAAAACCAAAAACTCTTTGTTCTACAAATATTTTGTAAACATATAATGAATCTCTTAATATATGGTATTCTCATTATCATGAGTAATCACAGTAAAACTAATGATCAGAATTCTGTAAGATCACTCAGATGCCCCCTTTATCCAACCAAATATATACATATACACACAAAGTAGATGAAGGACTTGATAAATTTGGCTGGCAAGACTTTATCTTTAGGTAGAAAAGATGGTCAGATATGAGAACAGCAGATAACCAGGGCTTCTCTGTTAGTGCTCATCCATTATTTTTACCAAGCATAGAAGAATAGAACAATCTGATTAAGAAACAAAACCAGGGAACCACAACATTCTGTAAGAAGACAGAAGCCAGCTCGGTGCCTGTGGCTCAAGCGGCTAAGGCACCAGCCACATACACCTAAGGTGGCGGGTTCGAATCCCCAGCCCGGGCCCACCAAACAATAATGATGGCTGCAACTAAAAAATGGCCGGGCGTTGTGGCGGGCGTCTGTGGTCCCAGCTACTTGGGAGTCTGAGGCAGGAGACTCGCTTGAGCCCAGGAGTTGGAGGTTGCTATGAGCTGTGATGCCATGGCACTCTACCCAGGGGGATAGCTTGAGGCCCTGTCTCAAAATAAAAAAAAAAAAAAAAGAAAACAAAAGCCATTTTTCTCCTGACATTAAAAAAGAAGTGACAAAATCACTGGCCACATTTCCAGGGAACTCAGACACTTCTTTGAAAAGTGACAGAATTTTAATAGTATTCCTGTTTACCTAATCACCTTCAACTGAAGATGTTAAAACACTTTACAAACATTAATTAAGCCCCCCAAGTCAGGAAAGGAACAGGCCTATTTCAGATAAGAAAAATAAAATAGGTAAGAGGCTGCTAACAGAAATCTAAAAAGAAACTATAGTCTAGCATCTAACATCCTTGGTTTTCTGAGGCTACACTTAACAAAATGCACCCAAACAATAGCATTCTCAATAATGAAGGCTATGCTGACAAGCCAATGCTTTTTATAACAAGAGACTGAGGCTGGATACAGTGGCTCTTGTCTGTAATCCCAGCGCTTAGCTAAAAGCCTCGTTGCTTGAGGCCATGAGTTCAAGATCAGCCTGGGTAATGCAGTGAGAAAATATTAGCCAGCCAGAGTGGCATGTTTCTGTAGTTTTAGCTACTTGAAAGGCTGAGGCAGGAGGATGGCTTGAGACCAGGAGGTTGAGGCTGTGGTAAGCTATGATTGTGCCACCATACTCCAGACTGGGCAATAGAGCAAGACTCCGTCTCAAAAAACAAACAGAAAATGGAAAGAATATTAGATTTGGTTTGAGTTAAGATTATTGTTCCAATCCTGGTTCCAGCATTTTCTAGCTATATGACCCTGAACAAGTCATTCAATTTCTTTAAAACTTAGTTTCCTCATCTGTAAAACTATATTAAATCTATCTCACAATGTTATAAGGATCAAATTAAATTATGTGTGCTTAGCATACAGGTACTCAAGATGTCAGCTTGCTTGCTTTCCCCAAATTTCACCTGAAGTCTATAGATGATACATGTAAAAAATATTATATATATGACTGTTATAATTCTTTTAACTAATTACAAAATTAATTTTCAATGATACCAAATACTTGGCAAAAATAAGGAATAGCCTAACTCTTTAATAACATCCAAATGAGTAAGACTTTAGAGTTGTCTCCAAGCTTACAAGTAAATTTTTTATTAATAATTTTTACTCATGTGAGCAAAAACAGAGATTGACTTCAGAGAAATAAAAACAAAGAGGGAAGGCCGGGCGTGGTGGCTCATGCCTATAATCCCAGCACTCTGGGTATCCAAGGTGGATGAATTACTTGAGCTCAGGAGGTCCAGACCAGTCTGAGCAAGAGACTGGTCCATTTTCTGGTCCCCATTTCTATTAAAAAACTGAAAAACTAGCTGAGGATTGTGGCAGGTGCCTATAGTCCCAGCTACTTGGGAGGTTGAGGCAAGAGGATTGCTTGAGTCCAAGACTTTGAGGTTGCTGTAAGCTATGATACTGAGGGCAATAAAAAGAGACTCTGTATCAAACAAACAAATCAAACAAAAACAAAGGGGGAGCTTTTCCAGAGAGATACCAGTGACGCCATATTTCTTAGTTAAAATTCAAGGAAACTCATATCTCAAAAAGGAGTTAGTGTACTATTCCAAAATTAACTTTGTAGTGTTCTCTTAAGTTAATATTCCTTTGGTTCAGAAAATAGACCAATAGTATCTGCAAAACTTTAATGTCATGTAAATAAGTTTTCTAGGGTCAGTAAGACCCAGACACAAGCAAACCCTTCTAAGAACCTACAAGGTCCTTCCTGATACTAACTGAAAGTGAAAGTGAGCTCCATAAACACAGCCAAGTAATTTAGAAACCCCATCTCAGTGAGGTTAAATAACACACCCATTTCTAAAGAAGTCTGGCAGAATAAAAACAGAAGTTAACTCATCTAGAGTCTAGATGCTCTAAGACTGATCCCTTTGAAAGACAGCAGCATCATGGAAATCTCAACACTGCTTTGATATATAGGCTACAATTAAAAGTCCTTAACTCCTTTGAAGCAAAGATCACACAGCTTTTTACTAGCATTGTATTTACACCTGCAAGGAATCTCTATCATCTTTGTCCTCAAAACATGACACACAAGAATAAAATCATCTGTCCAAGGTCACAGAGCAGGTGATGGCAAGTCTGATTCCCAACCACTTAGATGAGCCCCTTTGATGCACTCATCTATTCATGGGATGTACTGATAGTGACAAACAGACTTTTAAAAGGCAGTGTGGCATAGTCTTCACTGAATGCCTAAGATAGGAGAATGTGGTGGCATAATGTCTCTGCAGATATTACAAAGCTTAACTCACTGACGTTTAGAATTCAGCGCATTAAAAGACTGTCATCAAGAACTCGAGATCGAAGGGGTTAAGAAACACATTTGCTCCTACCATACCAACCTCTGGGCACTCTTCTTGATGCCCCACTAATTCTCTGGACAAAGAAAGGGTCTGTCTACCGCTTGCCCTGCCAGTAGCTTGGCACAGCACACGGAGGGTCTAGGGTGCCCCCAGAGCTCTGCAAGTTAGCTGTCCTTTTCCCCAAGTCATCTCAATCCCAACTTCCAGCAGTGGTTGTCAGGACGAACCTGCCTTTCCCCTCAACGGTGCTAAGTCAGCCCCTAGCCAAATGGACACACCCCTCCGAAGCGCTGTCCCCTCAGAATATTCTCACTCTGTCTTTGCCAAATATCTCCCCTCCCCACTCTCTTTAAGAGATACCATCCCACCTCTGGGCAGAGGGGCTTTCACCTGACTAAAAAAACTGCCTCTCCCAGTCTCCTGACTTGATGGACAGCTCCTTTCCTCTGACCGACTGCTCAGCCCATCTCAAGCCCTCGGGCAGGGGTGGGGTGCTGGTGCCTTCACCCCACTTGTCTGGGCTTGCAAGGTGGCTACTGGTTAGCACCCCGCCGCAGGTGCCGCCTTCCTCTCCCCCTCACTGGCATCCCGTACCTCCGCTCTTCTTGGTGCGGGCACACACACGCACACACACGCAGCGCCGAGGACTGCCTCCCGGCCGGCCCCACGCGGAGTCCCCGCAGCCCGCCGCCCCCGGCGGCCACGCCCCCGCGCTCACCCGCAGTCCGGGGCAGGGCACCAGCGGCAGTCGGGGTCCGAGGCCAGGTAGCGGCGCAGCATGAACTCCTCGTACTTGTGCATGAGCGGCGGGTCGGCGAGCAGCAGGCGGATGTCGTGCGGGTTGAGTCGCTCGCTGCACTCCGGGCAGCTGATGGGCACCCGGCTCTCGCTGATCTCCAGGCGCAGGTAGTGGCGGAGGCAG